ATATGTGTAGTCACTAAGTTTCTGTCCAACAAATGTCCATTGTCCTTGACCTAATTTTTATGGTTCAGTGACTGCTTGATTAAAAATTATGCTTTTTTTTCTCATTTGAAATTTTCACTTTACAAATGTATTATCTCAGATTCTATAAGCAATAGGTCAACTATATTTGGTGTATAGAATAATTGTTAGATGTACATGTGCATTTTGGACTAGCAGTTTTTATCGAACCTTGACCTCTTTTTCATGGTTCATTCTTAAGTTGTTGTGGTTAAGTCTATTTCTCAAACTAGCAATAAGGCCTCTACATTTGGTGTATGGAATGATTTTAAGGTGAACATGTCCAACACAGGCATTTTTTTCTGACCTTGACCTTTTTCATGATTTATTATTTGTGATTTTGGTCTATTTTGCAGACACTTTGAAGCAATAGGGCCACTATATTCTGCATATGACTTCTGCAGCCCTTCTATGTCAAGTATATATTGATCTTAAAAAATGACAGGTTATTGATAATTTAGTTTATTGCTTTCAAATTTAAAAATTTGATTAAAAGGTAAAAAAAGCTAGAATCTTCATTTTGGACTAAGGGAGCTACCATTTGATTGTTATGGGGGTGGGGGCTAGGATGAAAAATTTTGTCCTGCATTTTTTTTAGTTGTAATATCTGTCCTTACTTTTTATTTTTCACTCTATTCGGTCCTGCCTTTTTTTTAAGTTTATCCTGATTTTTTTTTTACCTAAATTGTCATCCTGAGGCCATAAAAAAGAATATGTTTGTTTGCCCTAACCCTATCTACCCATTTAATAGCTGCCTACTCAAAATCTTTTATTGTCCTGATGTGAAAAAGTTTTTTTTTTAATCAGATAGGCATGAAGACTAAAAATCATCTGACACTTCAATTACTCTTTAGAGAAAAAAAAGAAAATGCCTACCTACCTACCCACTGTCTCTACCTTTGGGTAGGGTTTGGGCAAACCAAAATATTTTTAAGTGTGGCTTGACTTTTTTTTTTGCAAGTGTCTCATCCTGCCTTTTTTTTACTCAAAACTCCTGTCCTGCCTATTTTTTTCAAATTTCATCCTAGCCCCCCCCCCCCCCCCCCCCCTAAAAATCAAATGGTAGCTCCCTATATAATTTTTTTCAAATTAACTTAGATTTTAATAAAACTCTACAGCTATCTCAATCATATATTGATCTTACAAAATGCAAGGTTATTTGGAAGTCAGGTTTATTGGTAACTGTAAATGTAAGGATTTATTTAAAAGGTAAAAAAGCAAGAATTTTCAGTTCGAGCTAAATTCGCAGCTATCTAAATCATATATTGATATTACAAAATGCCTGGTTATTAGTCCCCTACCGTCAAAGTCGAAGGGGAATTTAGGTTTGCACTCCGTCCGTCTGTCTGTCCATCCGTCAGTCTGGCAAATCAGTTTTCCACACTTTTTTTCTTTGTGCTTGAAGATATTGATTTGGTTTTTGGTGTATTATTTTATCATGTCAAGTTACAGATCAAGTTCGAATTTTATTTATCAATTATTATGTCAATGATAGACTAGGATTGGTTTTTTGTATATATGTATCTGCTACAGCATGGGAATTGTATAGGAAATACACATGTATTTAAATATTTAGCCTACTACCTAAGATTTTTTTTCTTACTAGATACAAAATAAAAGAGCCCCCCCCCCCCCACCCCCCACCCTGACAGTTCACAAAAATTCGTACAGTAAGGCACCTCTCTAGTAGACTCGACCAACTGAGCTAAGAAAAACTTCACCAGAGCAGCTAATAGAGGACAGTTTTTTTTTCTTGTATGCAAGCCGAGGGGGGTGCTTGTGGCGCTAAACATATATATGTATGGTTTATCAATGCTTACTTTTTACATGTCCCATTCAAACTATGCATAGTTTGCACCCCCTTATCAAAATCCTTGATCCACGTCTGGCAGAGGGAAGCAGTCAGGGGCGGATCCAGCCATTTATAAAAGGGGGGAGGGGTTCCTAACCCAGGATAAAGAGGGGGGTTCCAACTATATGTCCCCATTCAAATGCATTGATCGTCAAAAAAAAGGGAGGTTCCAACCCCCGGAAGCCCCCCCCCCCCCCCCCCCCCCCTGGATCCGCCACTGGCAGTGCTATAGTGTACAGTTTAACAGTGTTTACTGTACTCTTTAATTTCCACGATTACGATCCGACCTCAAGTCATAAAGCATATGAGGCACATCTGAAAACTTTGACAAACGTCACATATTTCAAATATTCATGGCTATAGTTACAATATGACGACGAAAGAGATTTAAAAACTATTTCCAAACGATTAACAATCGAAGCGATAAATTTTAAGTCCCATTGTTTTTATTTTTGGATACCCTCGGGACCTTTCAATGAACCTCATTCAAGTAAATATGTTCCGCGTGCGCTGTTCAGATTGGATAACTAGAATTCTGATTGGTTGAAAAAGTCACATGCAAAATCCTTCAGAAGTGAAACCTTATACGGGTAGTTGTTAGATCTTCGTATGTAGTATAACGTAGTATAACGAAATCCGAGATCTATATTTTAATTAGATTGGGATAAGTGAAATATATTTTATGTGATAAATTCAGATTATGGACTCCGCTTTGTTCATGAAATTGTTTAGTAAAGCAATATCACTGTTATATAGTTAATATGATTCCTTATGTTTTATTTGGTACTTCTTACAACCGAATATTTGAGTGCAAAATTGAATGTTTTTGAATCTTCCCTCTGGCTTCAAGTGTTTCACTTTTATTTTGCATGAGTGTAATTTTTTTCCTGGAATGTTTGCGAGTTTGGTCGATCCAGCACAAATGTTATGGTCTATCCATTTGTTAGTAGGTCATCACTTCATACAATAACTCTAAATATTTGAACCCATTATCCTGTCATTCCAGAATTATTGGACTTTATTCATGGAAAATTAGACATTTTCTCAAATGTTGTACTAGAACACTTGTTCTTATACTGTTATGAATCACAGTTTATGACCAAACTCAGTAAAGACCCATCTAAATTGCATTTAATTGACAAATTCAACAACACTTATCGTTATCTTGATGATATTTTTCGTTAAATGATCAAGAATTTTCTAAATATACTCCCGAGATTTACCCAAAGGAACTTACTTTAAATACATGAAATATAAACGGTAATAACTTTCCTTTCCTAGCTTTAGATATTTCAGTTTTACACTGGAGACTCTACACTAAAATTTACGACAAAAGGGACGATTTTTCGTTCTCTATTGTTAATTTTCCTTTTTTGGATGGTGATGTTCCTTTGGCACCATCTTACGGTGTTTATATATCACAACTCGTTCGTTATGCCCCTGTCTGTAGTGACGTTTTGAATTTCAATGAACGTAATCTATGTATTACTGGTAAATTATTAAGTCAGGGATTTCGTTACCACAAATTATATTTGAAGCAATACTTAATTGCTTCCTTTATTGCTTCCTTTGTTTTCCTGTTTACTAGTAGTTTGTTTTGGGCATCAATCTTCACCAAAATCTTTTCCAACTACTAGTCCCAGACTTATATTCCCACATTTTATTATTTGTCTGAAAAATTTCTGCAAATACTTACTAGCCCAGGACTAGTGCAGGACTGGGGCATTGAACAAGGTCATGTCTTCCTATGCTGTTAATAATGACGCACAGCTATCAGTATTAAGCCTTTTTTATTGTCATTCAAGAGTTATTTGTCCATTACACTTCAAAATAATAATTCGAAGAGAGTGAAAAACTGTTTTACATTTAAAGACGGGTATAACTTTTGTGAGTAATATTTAAATTTTATATACTTGAAGAATATGTAAACTTTCAAATGGATAAAATGTACAATGTATATGTAAATTTATCAGATTTGATTGTTAAGTATAATTTCTCCTTGTGCTTCTCCAAACATTTATTCAACTACTACACCTGTCCGTTGCTGAAGACTATACTACAAATTCAGAAATTGTTGTGATGTTTAAATTAATGCAAAAAATGTAAGTTTCAGGTCAGCAATAATACAAACTTGCATTCACTATTTCACTGTAGCGATTTTCCTTCACAAAATGTTTTCAATCGCACTAATAAGTTCTCACATTTTTACAAGTAATCAGTGATATGCAATAATAAATCCACGCATTAATTTCTGAATTTATTGTATTGTCGTCTAATTAAATGTCTTATGAAGATATGGTTATTTTTGTTATTATGTTGCTGTCTCAATATAAAAATCAATAATGTATAACCCACAATTCTTTTTATTCATATCTTCACAAATGATCTTTTTACAACCGCTGAATTTCTTTTCAATGTTCTAATTATCCAGGTCGTCTACCTTCTCAAATAATTTATGCAGAGAGCTAACACAGCAGCCAGATTAAAAGCCCTACGTCTCCCATTCTGAGCAACATAATCAGGACATCATAGAAAACAAAAACAATGTAGATGAACAAGACAAGAAATTTTGACCCAAATAGTAGCCAATATTTTACACAAGACTCAAGAGTGCACACACTGAAATGTCCCGCCTGCTTTACTGACCACTGATTTTATGCTGAAAGTCTTAAAGATAAAGGTTTTACTACAAGTATCACATAAACATTTCTAAAGATCCACGACAATAAGGTCAAGGTCAGATAAATGTTTTCAGACAGACTGACATGTACACCTTATAATTATTCCATACACCAAATATAGTTGACCTATTGCTTATGGTAATTGAAAAACAGACCAAAACACAAAAACTTAACATTGACCAATGAACCATGAAAATGAGGTCAAGGTCAAATGATACCTGCCAGACAGACATGTACACCTTACAATTATTCCATGCACCAAATATAGCTGACATGTTGCTATTAGTATTTGAAAAACTGACAAAAAAACAAAAACTTAACATTGACCAATGAACCATGATTGGTTGAGTTCCGCAATAGCCGTTCCGGGTTTTATTCCGTTTACGTTCCGACCATTAGAATTTACAGATTTTCACTTCCGGGACGTTCAACCATTTTACGCAGGAAAATTCATAACAAGCCATTCGTCATAGTATAACAGAAAGGAGAGAAACCATGTATTAATTCTATTCAACTAGTTACGTTAATTTATGGTAAGGTTAAGATTTATGAGTATGCTTCTTGTCATAAATGTGATAGTAAAGCGTAAAAAGCACGAAATTGGAATCAATACATGTGAAAACAAGATGTTGTTTTTCTTCAACCAACACGATTTAAAGACAAATTCTTACACATATATCCGTGTTTGTTTGTTTGAAATCCACATGTTGAACATCTGTGCCTCATAATCATAAGATTTTATTCGAAAAACATAAGAAAGCTTTAAAATGGTTAAGGAGAATCCTCATAAAATGATAAATACTATAAATTTATAGGATATATTATATCCAAAATTGGGGGTAACAAGACATTTCGGCACCCAGACAAATCGGCACCCACGTCCAAGACATTTCGGCATCCATTTTGGACATTTCGGGATCCAGACATTTCGGGACCAAGACAATTCGGCACCTCATTTATTTAAATATATATATTAGGAAAAATAAAAGCATTGTTACAGTAATATTATAATCTGTAGATAAAATATGCAATACAAAATTTAAAATAATCATTTAATTAAATCCTAAATGATTGTGTATGAAAAGTAAAACATCATTTTATTAAATCATAATTGATTGTTAGATACAATGTATGACGGTGTTTGAATAAACATCATTTAATTAAATCATAATTAATTGTAGTTATGCATTAATTAGTATTTTATGTATAAATCTGATAATTTCTCAAATGAGAGATTTAAAGTGTATAGCTTGTGTTTCAGCTTGTGTTCTCGTTTGATCCTTACATCTGTAAAGACAACACAATACCTGAAAACTATATTTTATTGTTTTGATATTAAAAGCAATAAACATAAAAGCGGTGCAAGCCATAATGAGTAAAAACCCAGAAACATATATAAAGGTTCCGATTTGTCTGGGTGCCGAAGTGTCTTTCTCAGGTGCCATTTGTCGGATGCCGAATTGTCTGGGTACCGAACTGTCTAGAATTCAAAATTGGGTACATGTACAAAATGTATCATTACTATCAGATTACCGACTATTTAGTGTTAAAAAAAAATTGTATATCTTCATAATACCTGTCATAATGCAAATATTCATTTACATGGCAAAGTTTTTCCCTTGAAGTTTAAGACCATAGTTCAAATGAGAACTTTTAAGGTTCATCATAACAAATGGACAAATATGGCCGTATTTTCACCTCAAAAACTACTCTGTGTACAGACTTACCTGTCCAGTTTGGAAAGTTTTAAGGCCTGGCATCCACTAGATATATACAAGTTAAATTTATTTTGCATATCAGAAAGATAAAATCTTTTTTGGATTATGATGGGCATTTTTTTCCATTCCTGCAGAAGGTGTAAAAATAAACTAAGTTGGGATATAATTTTGAGATGCTCCCTCTCAGGTAACAACTGATTTGTATTGTATTGATTGTCCTTGATTGGCATGGACAATAGATATCTACACATCTAAAGGTGAGTTAAAGGTAGTAACTGAGTGGACAGTATCAAATGCAATTCAGGTGTTTGTTTATTTTTACATCTTCTGCAGGAAGGAAAAAAAATGCCCATCATAATCCAAAAAAGATTTTATCTTTCTGATATGCAAAATAAATTTAACTTTTATATTTCTAGTGGATGCCAGGCCTTAAAACTTTCCAAACTGCACAGGTAAGTCTGTACACAGAGTAGTTTTTTAGGTGAAAATACGGCCATATTTGTCCATTTGTTATGATGAACCTTAAATACAAATCCTACTTTTTGAAGGCTGGTCCAAGAACACTGTTATCGTTCTTTAATTTTCCTGGTCCACTAATAGTCCCTATCGTGGACAGTGTATAAGTTGTATTTTTTTATTTCTTCATTTTGTATGCCTCAAATATATACATGATATAGCAAGTAGCTACATGTACATGTATATAATACGTTAAATACCGTACTAGGGGTGAAATTACATTGCTAAACAAATTTGGGTCATAAATTTTAAAGTAAAGTTATGATTATTGCAGTGTTTTGGTCTAGACAAAAAAGGTTAATGACTAGTATGTCTGAAGCATTCAAAAGAATTCAAGACCCCAGGCCCCTTAACCTAAAATTTTCCATACAATTAGTTAGAGCTGATGAATTTTTCTTTTATTTGGATATACATGTACATTTTTTAATTTGCATTTATTGTTTAAAAGAAACGCATTACAAAAATAACTATGTTCTTTGGCCAGCTGTTAACTTTGTTCCTGATGATCGTATTCAGCATGTTCAGTTATGTTGTCTTTAGGCAAAATGAAGTCCCTTACCCGAATGCGTGCACCACAACAGAAAATATCTTTAAATCCAAAGCTTATATTTTTATTAATGAAAATTTGTTGGGTATAACATGTATAATACCCATTAATGAGGATAGAACCCATTTATGAGGATCCAGATCCTCCTAAACCTTTATAGTATTATGGATTAACTCATGTGCATGTAACATGATTAATCCCCTGATAAACATGTTAATATTCAACATGTACAAAGTCTTTAAAATAAGTGAAAATTTCGTGAATTCAAATTTTCTCGCATGCATATTCGGCTCATAACAGGATATAAATGTTTGGCAAAGCCTTGTTTTCTACCTGTTTGTAAGCCTTGTACAAATAAAATTTACATTTCGAGTCAGTTAATGGTTATTTTATTGATATCTACACGTATAAAAATAAAAAGATGTGTAATCAACATGATCAATGCCAATGAGGCAACAATCCACCAAAGTTCAAATGAAGTGGATTTAAGCAATTATAGGCAACCTTACAGCCTTCAACATATATTGACAAAACCCATACTCTCTAGTCACTTATAAAAAGCCATGACAGTAAAGTTATGAAATACAACCTAATTTTTAACAAATTTTGTCAAAACAAATTACCATATGAAATGTGACAATTATCAACCAATGACAACTACTGAACTACAAGCTCCTGACAAGAACAAGCTGCAATTGAAAAAGGGCTCAACTCATAGGGTTGATTTAAAGCAGAAAAAACATCATACAATTCAGACAGGAGGTGGCCGCTTATTTATACATCACTCCCGTCTTCCCACTTACAAAAATGTAACTACAGGCCTGTAAAACTCATTTGAACAGGCCAATGGAATCTTTATAAAATTTTCATAAAGTTGACTGTAGAATCAGAAGTTTATTGTCAAGGCTGTGACATTCACAAGAAAAAAGACACAAAGTTTAGTAATGAGTTGTACATCTTTATGACTGTCTTCAGGCTTGACCACAAGTCCTACGGCCCAGGCTTGTAAAATTCTTCTGTACAACTAAAATTTTCAAAAAATTGAGCTTCAGGCTTGTGGTCTCAAAAGTTTACCGTGAAGGCTGTTATGATAATTAGGGCCTTGCCGAATGGCGGACGCCCTATAGTGATCAGTCTGTCCGTCCGTCTGTAACAAATTGTGTCCGCTCTATATCTAGAGAACTGTTATGATTTCAAAGTTTATACTTGACATGTATATTAACCAACACCAGAGGGTGTGTCATAATTTATGTACAACTTCCTAGGTCAAAGGTCAAGGTCAAAAACTTTGGTTTTAGTTGACAACCCCATGTCCTATGGTAAAGATCTTGTCAGCTCTATATCTTGAGAACCGTTATGATTTCAAAGTTTACACTTGACATGTATATAAACCAACAGCAGAGGGTGTGTCATAATTTATGTACAGCTTCCTAGGTCAAAGGTCAAGGTCATAAACTTCGGTTTCAGTTGACAACCCCATGTCCAATGATAGAGATACAAATTTTTTACCACACATTATTCACAGCGGGGCCCACAGAGATGGCTCCCATCTCAATGATATCTAGGTATTTTAATTATACTGTGTAAAATCTTGATATTTTAAATTATTTGAGACGACACAAAATTGCAGAAAAATATTATGCTTTGAAAAATTTGAAAATTTCTAGTGAGCGATAAGAGTTTAATAATTTTTTTTTTTTCAGAGTTATGTCATCAGATTCAGAGTCAGAATGTCAAGAAGAACAGCTGTCATTGGCAGAACTGCCAAATGGAAAGTTCCGGAATTAAAGGATTGGTTGGAAAAGTGAAATTTAAAGAAATCAGGTCTAAAGGATACATTAGTCAAACGTGTATATAGGGCAATGTCAAATGAGGACTCAGACTTTTCAGAAGAAGAAAGTTTTCCAGTTATTCCAATTGATTTAGTTTCAAATCCATGGAAACCACTAGACTTTACTGATATTCCAGAAATATCCATTAAAGATGTTGACAGCTATTTGATGTACCACAAAAATCCCACAACTGGGGAGAGTACCAATTTTGAAAGGCAAATGAAAAAGGCAAAAAGATTGTGCAACGAAGGATTCATAAGAGACATTGAATATAATCCTATTAATCAAGGAATACATACTTGGAAAATAGACCAAAACACAAAAACTAAACATTGACCAATGAACCATGAAAATAAGGTCAAGGTCAAATGAAACCTGCCAGACTGACATGTACCCCTTGCAATCATTCTATACACCACATATATATTTATATATTTATATATTATTAACTCAATTTATATTTCATGTTTGAGTTGTTTTTCTTGTGTATTGTCTATATTGCAATTGTTTAATATAAAAAAAACACTGTACTGATTATGCCCATAATAGGTCCTCTATTGGAAATAAAATTTATCTTATCTTATAGTTGACTGCTTATAGTATCTTAGAAACAGACCTAATTGTGTAATTTTAACCATGATCACTGATCCACGAAATGAGGTCGAGATCAAGTGAACCCTGTCTGACGGACTTGAAGACGCTGCAAGGAACCCATTTAGAAAATATATTTATCCTATTACTCATAATGATTGAGAAATACTATGACAAAAAACTATAAAAAAAAATTTCAAGCAGTCGCTGAGCCATGAAAATGAGGTCAAGGAGAATGGACATATGCCAGACGGAAACTTCGTAACATAAGGTACCTGCATACAAGGTACAGTTGTATGAAGCATCGAGGTCTTCTACCTTCTGAAATATAAAGCTTTATACAAATAGTTGACGCTGCAGCTGAAAGATAGTAATCCCCAGGTCTCACATACTAGACTTTCGTCGCAGACATGACTAAAACGGAGGCTAGAGAGAAATAAAGCTTTCATTTGGGCTACATGGTTATTGTCAGTGAATAAAAAAGGTACAGATTATGGGGAACAAGAGTGCACACGCTGAAATGTCTCGTCTCCTTTACTATCATGACTGAATTTATGTTTAAAATCTGTAATATGAAGGTTTTACTACAAGCATCAAATAAACTAAACATCATCAATGATCCATGTAAAATGAGGTTGACAGGTCAGGTAAACCCCATCTGCTAGACATGTAGATCTTGCAAGGATCCCGTAACCAAATATAGTTACCCATTTACTCATGATAAGCTGAAAATTCCACATGACAAAAAAATACACATTTTTTCATGCAGGCACTGAACCATGAAAATAAGGTCAAGGACAATGGACATAACAGACACGTACCGTCATAAGGCACTTGCATATAAGGTATGAAGCATCCAAGTCTTCTACCTCGTGAAATATAAATCTTTATAGTTCACACAGTCACCGCCAGATAGTAATCCCTATGTCTCGCATTCTGCCGGCAAGACAATAATGGACAAGAGAGACGAAGTGTGTGATTTATCTGCTTGACAATGGATCTATTGCAATTTCAAGAGAGGAACTTGTTAAATCATGTCTGGGTAATCTTGGACTAATTCTTTATGGTCACAATTAAACCATATGATAACATGTTGATCAACTGATATGATGTGTGTGTGTTTTGACTTATGAGAAACTTTTCTTGGTCCCGGTGAGCTAAAAAAAGGTGCTTTCTGATTATGATACTTTACATGTAAAAGTGAATGTAGTTTTCAATCCCATTTGTATATTTTTTTGGTAAATCAAGTACAATTTTTTGTGGCATGAGGAAATAGTGTTAATATGGTGCTTCTTTTCCTATTAGTAATAGTACAAAAATATATTCAACATTGACTACAAATATTGTTTTAGGTTCGTGCACTTTATTGTTCATAAATAAGTTGTGAAAAAAAGTTGTTAAAAAACCTATTCCAAACATCTGGTTTACTAGTATAGATAATGACAGAGGATCTCTCTGACTAACTATTTATTAGGGTCTCACTAATTAGCGACAACAAGCGTCAACAAGCGACAAGAAGCGACAACAAGAATTATTTTAGCGACAAGAAGACTATTTAGCGACAAGAAAACATTTTTTTGTATTAGATATAAAGAAATTTGTATTTAATTTTTTTTTTTTAAATATACGAGCAGATATGTCTAATTAAAATGTTTTATTATATAGATAGACGAAGAAATGAAACATTTGTGAGGAAGAAAGAGATTGTGAAGTTTATATTAGTATATTGGTAGATGAAGAAATTAAACATTTGTGAAGAAGAAAGAGATTGAGCTTCTTTTTTTAATTTTTAAATATGAAGAATATGTATAAGATAATGTATGTATCTGTTTTCATCAAAGTCAAAGTATGAATAAACGAATGGAGATATATATGGAGCGGGCATAATGGAATATAATATTTTGATTCATTTGCTTAATACTATGCTCTAAGTGTACTCTTGTTATGTCAATTCGATGCTTTATTTGTAGAACTCTCAGCCACGCTTTGCCATCTTTATTATTTAAGCGTGTTTCCAGACCCCACGACGAGGACGTGGTTCTACCTTGGGGTCCATATAATTTTTAAATTTGTTTTTTTTAATTATTTTTAGTCATTATATAGTAATATGTACTTTCCTATCTAACATAATATTTATACATTTTGTACATGGTGGTCCCATTTTGATAAGCCGTTGATTTTTACCACTAAGGTTCACTGTATTTTTGCCCTTTTTGAAGTTGTAGTTTTACGAAAATGCTCTATTTTTGGCGGCAGCTTTACAAGCTTCATCATATGATGGTGAGACAAGTTCTAGTCTGTTGTGCTTAGATGTATCATAAATTAGCTTATTTGACACCATCTCTATACAAGTCAAAACTCTCAGTCTTGTTGCAAGACTTTCATTGCCACACATGTCCACTGACAAAGAATTGAAGAGACGATTGCCATTTGTTGAGACTTGGACAGGGTTTCTATCTTTAATAATCATGCTTTGTTCATTTAATATTTGTCTAGAAACCCTGTCTTCAACCAAAGAGCTCATTTCAGAATATGTATGGTTTGTCTCCCCAATAATTTGTGTTAGTGGTTCTTTTCTTAGCAATATTTTCTCTACATTTACGCCATCCGTCAACAAATTTTTACTTGCATAAGCTTCTAATCTACTAATAGAAAGATCATAGTCAAATTTATGATCTTTTGTATGACAACATTGTGTACATATGAAATCACAGCTTTTAGTCTGACTTAAGATCCGAAACTGATCTTTTGTTAATTTCTGGCATTTTTGGTGAAACCATGTTTCACATTTTTCACAAAACACACATTCGAGTGCAGTTTTTTTAACAGTTACCACATGGGTGTGCCATTTTTAGAGTGTAAGACTAATATTGCAGGGTATAACTTCCCTTACTATTTCCTTTGCCCAAGAGGAAAACCCTTATCCCAAGGGATTCAGTTTGACACGGCGATGTGACAAAATAAGTGCGTTTCAATATTTACCCTTGCGCAAGGGGATATCATGAACGGACGTGTCCACTATAGTATAATTATAATACTTCTAATATGCATTTATCGAAGTTCGAGTCGTAACCTTTTTTTCCCTTGCCCAAAAGGAAATTGAAACCCTGTACCAAAGGGTTCGTTTGATACCGCGCAGTATCAAAGACGTACAAAGTAACTGATTTATTAATCAAAGGTAAACCGAGTTGCGTTTTAGATTCTAGCAATTGCACAGAGCACGTACTTTTGCGAGAATAATACTGAAATGCTGACAATTTACTTTATACTAAACATGAAAGTTGAATGGCTTCAGTCAGCTTGGTAGAGCAAAGGAAATGCACACTCTATAAAACTGAAACAAAAACAAAAAAAGGTCAACTTTCCTTTGAAGGATTTATTGAAACAAAAACATGAAATATAATTTCCTTTCTAACAGTATAATTCATTGTTCTTGATAGGAACAACATTAGATGTGGCTTCAGCCTAAGGTAATAACAGTACACACAATGTGGAACATCAAATGAGATTAACGAGGCGCGTGTCCCCTGTTTTATTGCTACAATAACATCCAATTAACACCTTCAACTTTGTACACGCGTCAGACTATACAATTACACGCGCCAGAATATACAATCATTGTAAATAGTGAACACCTGTTGAAAACTCAAGATTGTCATTAATTTCCTTTCATCTTCAATCAATATGCATAAACATGATAAATATCGTTTAATGAGGCAATAAACAAATAAAAAGATGAAAACATTCACATTTCAATTTTCTTTTCCTCTTGTTTGATTTCAGTTCTTTGTATTTCACAATTTGTGTCAATATTTTCAGGACAATGATGCACAAATAATTCATTTTGCGAGCTTAATATATATTGCACGAAAAGAGTTTTAAAAAACAAATTATAAGATAAATAATATGTTCTAAAACACAAGGAAAAGTAATCTCATAATACAATAATTAAACGTAATACTGGCTGTTATACATAATAGATGATAAAATATTATGTAAATAATGTTTCATTTTTTTCTATCAATTTTAACTTTCTTGTCGCCTAAAATTATTTTCTTTTGCATATTCTTTTAATATTTATTGCAATAATTAATTTTAATTAAAAAAAATATGTTTTCTTGTCGCTAAATAGTTTCTTGTCGCTTCTTGTCGCTAAAATAATTCTTGTTGTCGCTTCTTGTCGCTTGTTGACGCTTCTTGTCGCTTGTTGACGCTTCTTGTCGCTAAAATTCTTGTTGTCGCTAATTAGTGAGACCGATTTATTAAACTTATATCACACTCAACATGTACGTGCAAATGACGAGCAGCAATTTTTTGGGGTAAAAAATACGACAGTTTGATTCTTTATGATCCAGAAAGTGCAGAACTGTGGAAGGTCCATAGACTGTCAACAGGATCAGCCCCTGAAATGTTAAAAAAGTTCATTTGTAAGATTTTAAGGACGGTCATTATTCTTCCATTGGTAAAAAAGCTAATTGCGTTTGAAATTTCTTCGTTCATAACTTTTAATATCGGTTTTCTAAATCTTATTCGTAGAGCATAACAACAACTTTATGCAGAATTAAAGCGAAAGTTAAATTTAACATCAACACCAAAGAAAAATCAAAATGTTGAAATTCGGATGTATTACCCATGTCTGGTAGAATTCCATGGAGGGCTAATTAGCTGTCAGTAACTGCGAGTACCCTCAGGTCTGTCCTTTTTGTCTATTTTGTTGTGGGGATGTATAAATACCCTGCCACGTCCGGTCTGTGTTTTTGTTACTTGTTTTTCTGCTCTGTATCGATCTGATGAGTTAAGCCCTTGAAGTTCTCAACTGATTTTTATAGTTTGTTCATATGTTGTGCTGTTATACCACTGTCCCAGGTGAGGGGAGCGTTAGGCGCCTGCAAACATGTTTAACCCCGCCACATTCTGTATGTGCCTGTCCAAAGTCAGGAACCTGTAATTCATTGGTTGTCGTTTGTTGCTGCATATCATATTTCTTTTTCG